CAGAATTCTGACGTTAATCACAGAATTCTGACGTTAATCACAGAATTCTGACTTTAATCTCAGAATTCTGACGTTAATCACAGAATTCTGACGTTAATCACAGAATTCTGACTTTAATCACAGAATTCTGACGTTAATCACAGAATTCTGACGTTAATCACAGAATTCTGACTTTTATCACAGAATTCTGACTTAAATCACAGAATTCTGACTTGACTGAGGTTTTCATAGGACTAGTTCGAGTACCACTTTGCCACTTCTGTTATTTGCTGTTTCTCAAATAAAATGTTACAATATTACAGCTTTCATTGATTTATTACAAATTCATATATTGTATTATAAAATTAACCAATTAATGGAATCGAATCCTATCGTGTTGTATTCTAGGGAATCGTTGGGTCAGGAAATTGATACTGAATTGAATCGCCTTGATGGGTGTGATTTACACCCCTACTAGTAATATTACCAAAGCATCTTCAGGTAAATATCTGTTCTCCTCAAGAGTCAGACTTCATATCCAACTGCCATATCAGTCATCAACTGAATTATGTAAACACGTTTGACATGAAAAAAAGGATTAAAAGTAGCTGTTAATGTGATTAACTGAAGCATCACACTCCTTAATTCTAACAATGAAGCTAATGTTGGTGTAGCCTATATGGATGTTAAAAATTTAAGATTATGATTTTTTAATAATAATCAACACATTTCTAACTGGTTTAAAGTAAGTTATTTATCAAATGATTTGGCTAAACCCATTTTTGATGCTTAAAGAGAACAGCAGTTAGTTTGAAGAATGTTTTGCAAGCTTTACAACCAGGAAGAAAACAGTGGAGTCTGACAGGCGGGATTTCCTTAAAAGTGACCAATCACAGGATCTTTACTTTCTACAGAGTTTATTATTCTTAAGTGAGAAAAGTTGATTCAATGGCGGCGAAACAGATCCACTAAGGAGTAAGAGAGACGCTACGGTGGCGTGGAAATCAAACCACGAGTGCAGAGAAGTAGCACGCACTTGTGTGATATATAGGAGGGTCTCGTGCTGCTGGATCTGCAAATGAAAACGTTCAAAATGCGCGTGGAGAGTAGTTTACAGGTTCTTACTTTAAATGAAACTGCTTTTATAAATGTTAATCAAAACATGCACGCTTTTGATAGACTTCCTGTGTTTAGACTCGTGGGTTTGTCTTCATCCTGATTATCCTTAAAATAGAGCTTTTTATTAAAACAACCTATTATTTTTGTTAATTATCTCCCATAGGAAATCTGTAGCCATCTTAAACAACCAACAATTTATATTTATTTTTACACTGCAAAAAAAAAATCCAAATCTAGATAAGTAATTTTTTCTTAAAATTGGTGCATTTGTTCATGGATTGAGGAGGTAAAAGAGACATTTTGCCAATGGAACAAGACAATTTACACTTTAAATAAGAAAACACCATTGCATTGTCTAATTTTAAGTGTACATTATCTAATGATCTTATTTTAAAAGTAAAAATACTTATCCTATAGGCAAACTATCTAACTTACCTACTCAATTTAAATGTAAATACACTTAATTTAGGAAATTTTAACTTATTTCTAGATTGTTTTTTCAGTGTAGCTTTTAAAATACTATTAAAACAAATAATTTCCAAGCAAATTAAAAGAAAAATGGCTCTTTTAATGTCATTCTGTTCTGTCTTATAAAGACACTAAAGCTTTTAAGTAGGGATGCACGATATAATCGGCCCCCTATCGGTATCGGCCTGTATCGGCCTTAAAACTGAATATCGGACATCGGAGTTTCTAAAGTCTAAAAAAACTACT